GAGGTTGCTCGTTGCGGATGGGGCGCACTGGGAAGGAGCTGTGGTCGCCTTCCACTGCCTGTCGAAACACAAGAGGTGGTCGGTGCAGCCCTGACCCCGTGGAGCGGGATGGATCCTCCCTCCAGTCACCCTGGGCTGGTGGTGGAGACCCCGTGCATCAAGAGCCTTGGAGTGTCCCATGCATTAAGCCTATCAGAGACCCTTGTGCATCATCTTGGAGATCCCCATGCATCAAGCCTCTTGGAGACCCTCATGCATCAAGGGTCCCTTGTTCATGAAGCATATTGAAGACTCCCATGTATCAAGCGCCTTGGAGACCCTCATACATCAAGTGCCTTGAAGAATCCCCATGCAAAGCATTTTGGAGACCCTTGTGCACCAAGCATCTTGGAGACCCCCATGAATCCAGCACCTTGGAGACGCCCATGCATCAAGCATCTTGGAGACTCTTGGGCACCAAGGATCTCTTGTTCATGAAGCATATTGGAGACTCTCATGTATCAAGTGCCTTGGAGACCCTCATACATCAAATGCCTTGAAGAATCTCTATGCAACAAGCATTTTGGAGACCCTTGTGCATCAAGTGTCTTGGAGACCCCCATGCATCCAGCATCTTGGAGACCCCCATGCATCCAGCATCTTGGAGACTCCCATGCAAGCATCCAGCAGCACCACATCAGAAAGGGCTCAAATCTCTCCAAAGCTGAGCACCACTCCAAGCTGAAGATAGCCCCAGGACCCCTTGAGAAGAAGCTGATGGGAAACTAGCAGGGTGGAGAGGACTAGGGGGTGAGGAACGGGGCTGCCGGGGGCTGAGATCCGCCACGAACTGCCAGCACCGAGGGCTTTGCTTGGTGTGGAGGAAAAGCGGGCATGCTCACCATGTTGAGGAGCTCCTGGAGCAGGCGTTGGGTGGGCTGACCCTGGCTCCTCAACACCTCATAGAGGTGGGCATAGCCGATGCGCTCCTTGAACACCTCCTGCAAGCACCCAGGCACGTGGGACCCCGCACTGGGCCCCACCACGTGCTGCTTTCACCCCGGTCCACCTTGCAGCGTGAAAACCCCCAAGCCCATCTGTTTTCGGGGTGTTCCCCCCACCCTGGTCTGCCGCTCACCTTGGCTGAGGGCGAGTTGCTCATGATGGCAGTGAGCACCCCGACGGCGTGGACCGCGATGGCGTCGGAGCCTCTGTTGGAGCCCTATGGGGACATGGAGGTGGTGGGCCCATTGAGGCATGGGGTTAGGAGGACACAACCCACCATGCCTGGAGGTTTGGTTATGGGGTGGCCCCGCACGATACCTGCTGGAGCCTGTCCCCATCTGGTGGCAGCACGGGGACCTCGTCCTGGGCTTCGTCCACCTCCCGTGTGCTGCTGAGGTAGAGCTGTGGGCCACGGGGTGGGCGTCAGCCCCAGGGAAAGGAACCAGTTTGGGGTGGAGGGAAGAGGGAAAGCAGTTACAGAGGGTCACCACCCTGGGGATGCTGTTGGTTTAGAGCTGGGAAGGGTGAGGATGGAGATGACGGTGCCCAACCCTGGTGTCACCAAGGGGGACATCAAGGCGGTACCTTGCTGTTTTGGAGGAGCCGGATGATGTGCTCGAAGCAGTTGTTGCTGAGAAAGACGGCTTGGAGAACCGGCCGGTCCTCGCAGCTCAACATGGCCGGGATGGCATCTACGGCGAGGTGGAGACATCTCAGCACCCATCCCGCGTCCTCATC